CCACTCAATGGGGACAAGATGAGGCTTCGTCCATAAAGAGTCACAGTCTCAGAAACCTACAGGGGCTATAGGACAGGTCTACCCTGTCCTACAGAGTCACAACGAGTTGAGATCAACTGGACGGCAGTGATTTTATTTTCTAATTTTTGGTGTAGCAGTTCAAGAACCAGGCAACCCTACATCCACTCCCATTGGGGATGTCTTGTGCATCTGCTGAACACCCATTGTTGGCTGTTGCCATTTCAAGGCGCTCTCTCATCATCAGGGCCAGCCTTGTCCACTCTACGGTTTATGGGTGCGTGTGTGGAGAGTGGGGAGAAGGAGCTTTGATCCAAAGAATAGCTTCTCTGGCTCTCCAAGAGATCTGGCACATTCCTGGGTTTCCTGCTTCTAAGCATCTGCAGGATGCCTGGGTGGGGGTGGGGGTGGGGACTGGTAGGGTTGCTATGCTCTCGGGCTCCATGCTGGTCCCAGAGAGCCAGACAGAGGGTGACATGGGGCAGAGGAGACAGCCATCTGTCCAGGCCTCATGACAATCAGGTGAGGAGTTATCTTTGATTATGATTATTTTAGGATAAACTTATTTATTTTCTTTTAATATCACTTCTACATCACCTTCCTTGCCTTTCACATCCTATTTAACAAGAATGAACAGAAGTCATTAGAAACATCTGGCATAAAAACTGTATACTTTGTGTTCATGGAGGGAAGGCAGTTTGAGTTTCTTTATAGGTTCCCGCTGCCTTATCTGCCAGCCAGGGGACAAGTCCTATAGCAGCTGTGTCTTCCTCTCTTTCAATTCCCAATACACACACACACACACACACACACCAAACACACTAGATTCATCATAAGGCTGGTGCTGTCATTTACTGATCTCCATCCATTGCTCGCCTGGCTCACAGTGGCTCCATCCTCCTGAAGCTTTGCCCTGCTCTCCACAGCTCCTGTACAAAGACCTTCACGAGCTCCCGATGGCCTGCTGAACTAGTTGCAAATGCTTTATGCAGGTTCCACCCCATTGGCAGCACCACCTACTCTAAATTGAGCTGCCTTTTAATCTGAGGGGGTACCTAGGCAAATCTGAGCTGTTCTTTTGTGGGCACATATTCTAATTTTATGTGACTAGGTATCATGTTATGCATCACATGCAGTATCTACCTCTTTCCACAGGCACCCTGTTGCTCTAATCTACTCGCTTGTTTCCTGACATCTTCCTTGTCCACTGTGATCACACTCAGTGATCACACTCAGGTTGCCCCAGAGCTGCCCATCCCCACAGGTAACACTGCAAAAAGCCAAAGTGACAGTTGCACTAACATCTTCCCAACCATCTCTCAAGTTCTTCCCATGAGCCAGACACTGCTCTCAGCCCTTCAAATAACTGGAACTGCCATTGCCCAAATCTTACAGACGAGGAAACAAAGGCACCAAGAGTTTTCATAACCCAGCACACATTCCTGGGTGGACCCGGGTAATGTCAGCCTAAGGGTGGCATTAGGAGGCCACAGGATATGTGCGTACTTAATATCACAAAGTGGACCTGATCAAATGGGTGTGGGGGGATTCCTGTATACCAGCTCCACATCCACACAGAAACACTGAACACAGCACTGCGGCTGCCTCTTGGGAGAGGGAGAGGGAGAGGAATGGGAGTGGCTAAAGGTGTCAAGAGAATAAAGGGATGGACAAAACCAAGAAGGACCAAGGACCACAAAGCACCAGGATTCAAGCAATGGGACTAACTCAACTTGAGTTACTACTCAACTTGACTACTCAACTTGAGTTACTACTCAACTTGACTACTCAACTTGAGTTACTACTCAACTTGACTAACTCAACTTGACTACTCAACTTGAATAACTCAACTTAACTACTCAACTTGATTAACTCAACTTGACTCAATTAAACTTTCTTGCTGAACCTTGAGTTACTACTCAACTTGACTACTCAACTTGAGTTACTACTCAACTTGACTAACTCAACTTGACTACTCAACTTGATTAACTCAACTTGATTACTCAACTTGACTCAATTAAACTTTCTTGCTGAACCTTGGTCTGACCTGACCATCAATCTCCTCTCTGGTTCCCTTCCGATCCACTTTTTAACTCTCCTCCCTCAAACACACACCTTTTGCCCATATCTCTCCTATGCCCTGTCCCTTGTCAGTGTGAGATCACTTTGTCTTCTTCTCTCTCCCATTCCTGGGAGCGCCTCAAGAGCAGCCTCTGGCTCCTTAGAGGCTGGACTTATGCCCGACACATAACCCTACCCACTGCTATCGAGTCACGTCTGCCTTACAGTCACCTTGTAGAGCAGAGTGCAGCTGCTGCCTGGGGCTCCCGGGCTGCAAATCACAGCAGATCGCCTCATCTTTCTCCCTCCTGAGTCGGATCTGTCCACATGTGGTCAGCACAACCCACAGCTGAACCCACAGCACCACTGGGGAGTCACAGGGAGGACCCCTTAGTGATTCTTTTCTTTTCCGTTTTTAAAATCCCATTGCGTCTCTTTGTGTAAGTTTCACCAAAGTCAAATTGAAAACTTTATCTCTGTCATACAATTCCAGGACACATACATTCAAAACGAAATGCTCTCTTTTATTCCTTCTTACATAGAACATATATTTATATATTACTACTATCTGTCTGAAGGAGCTCTGGTGGTGTAGTGGGCTATAGGTCGGGCTAGTAACCACAGGGCCAGTGGTTCAAGCCAACCTGCCTTTCTACTCCTATAAAAATGTACAGTCTCAGAAACCCACTGAGGCAGTTCTATAGGATCTATCCTATAGGGTGGGTATGAGTTGGAATCAAATTTATGGACAACCCTTTCTTCACTGCCCCCTTTCCATCTCAGAAGCGGGAGCTGCTTGGGGTCTCCTCTGGCCGCTCACCCACAGACCCCCACGCACACACTCACTTCCTGCACAACCACTAATGCTTGCCACTTTCGTTCTCTATCCCCAGCCCAACACCTCTTTCAGCTAAGAGCTCACATGTACCAGGCCCGGGGCCTCATCGCAGCCGACAGCAGTGGGCTTTCGGACCCCTTTGCTAAAGTCACCTTCCAGTCCCACTGCCAGACGACAAAGGTAACCAGCCCCCTAGCCGAGCAAGGGAGACCAACAGGGCGCCAGGCCAGTGCCTGGACCTCGGGAGGGGGGTGGGCAGGGGCTTCAGACTCAAAGCAGAGGTGTGTGCGACAGGGCTGAGGTGGGAAGAGCTATTGGTCCCCCATCACCCACGACCCCGAGGCAGAGGGGCGGAGAAGAGAAGGGAGGTGGGGAGATCAGCGGGATGAGGAGCAGCAAAGGGCCCTGGCCCTGCAGAGCCCACGGAGTGACAGCACAAAGCAGACAGAAACACACCCAGGTCACCCTGGAGCGTCAGCCCTAGTCTCCGCAGAGGGCTCAGCCCTAGACTTTTCATGATAATGTTGTCCTTACCTGCTTGGGGGGTGGGGGCGGGGGGAGGCGCTTTGAGTGCTCTGTCACCCTTGGGCTTCCATGTTTTTCCTGCTGCTGGAAAAGAATCACTTGGTGAGGTTGGGGGTTGAAGGCTGTGGATCAGATCCACGTTTCCATCTTTCTGTCTGCCTTTCCTTTGGCCTTGGAGCTGAAATGTGAGGGGTCTCCAACTGGCATAGTCCCCCTCTCTGGGGCCTTCCTCTGTTCCCTACGGATCCTCCGTCTGGGGGGCCTGGTCTTGCAGATTAGAACTTTAGGAAGTGACTTAATGGTTCCCGTTGTTTCAAAAAGGGGCAGCCTATTATCCAGCAGTCACTGCGGGCGTGGGACTCCAATCCAGCACTGGCTGAGAGGAATGGGAAGGGGAGAAAGACCCCAAAGAGAAAAGCTTTGGGGATGGAAGGGGAGAGGGACAAAGGGGCTTAGAGGGGACCTCAGCTTAGAGGAGGTGGAGGGCCTCTGAGTGGGAAGCCTGAACCCCAGAAGCTAAGCAGTCAGACTGATACCTAGTGCTGGGGATGATGCGGTGTCTTGTTTGGGGAGATTACCCCAGCACACCAGGCTGGTGCACAAGTGGCTGTTCACTCTTTTATCAGAGATTATATATGGGGCGGAGTGGGAGGGGCCCACATGCACTTATTGAGCACCTACCATGTGCCAGGTACTTAATATGCTTTATCCAAGACAACCTTTATAGCAACTCTACAAGGGAGGTGCTGTATCCGTGAGGGCAACTAAGGTTGGGGGAAGTTCAGTTACCTGTCCCAATGGGATACGGGGTGAGTGATGAAAGCTGGGTGCCACCTCAGTGGCATCTGTCCTGAAAGTGTCCGAGCGTGAAAACACGCGTCCTGCAAAATAAAATGCCCATCTGCCTAGAGAGAAGGGGGCCTCTCCACCCAGCAATGAAGAAGTGAGCCTTCTGGTCCAGTCAAAGCAGGAAGCCAAGTTATACGGTCATGCTTGGCTGTTCAGCCGGGGAAGGAGAAGGCAGGCTGTCTGAGAACAGAACATTGGTGGAGACCGGGGGTGGGGTGGGCTGAGGGGATTGTGCATATCTGTGGGGTTAGTTACATGACAGGTGAAGGCGACATTTGTGCAAGTGTGCATGTTCTTCAGGTAAGTACAGCATGGCCACAGGACACTGGCCGCTTTAGCTTTCCTTTTCTTTTTGGAGATTTGTAGCTCCACTTGCCCTTGATAACCTGATTACATCTCGTTGTTTAGCAGTTTAATATTGTGTTAAACTTTGTTTTTTACAACAGAGTTTTGTTGTTTTTTACAACAGAGTTGTGTTTTTTAATTAAACCCAGTAAGATGTACAGAAGACAATGAGGCAGTAAAAAGTACTTTGGGCTGGTCCAGGTTTTGCTTTTCTGGAAACCTGCTCTAGAATTGCTTTCTCTAATTTTTTCTGCTTGTTCCTGGGAGTCCACTGTGAAAAAGATTGATCAATAATGTTGTGCTCATGCCCCTTCACAACCTGCATCTGTTTGATCATCAACGATACTCACCCCCACTCCTAACACTCGCGCGCACACACACGCTCCCTGGGAACAGACGGGCCTTTCTGCATCTGCCTGACCACAGAGAAGAGCATGTCTCCTTGGAGGGATCTGGCCGGGTCAGGGAAAAGGTTAGAGAAACTGCTGTTAGCAAACTCCAAAGTGGATTCTAAACTCGGGTCAAGACTTCACGATGGAGTTCAGGCACCACTTTCAAACCAGACTGCTCTGTTCGCCCCACCAAGTGCCTCAGGTCTTAGACGCCTGCAGAATGGAAGCATCTGAGTGAGGGTGCTGACGAAGAAGGCCGAAAGTGCTATGAAAAGTGCGAACACACTTGTTCTGGAGGAAGAGCAGCCAGAGTGAATGTCCCTTAGAAGCGAGGATAGTGACACTCTGTCTCACTCATTCTGGACATGTTGCCAGGAGAGACCAATCCCCCGGAAAGGATCATGCTTGGTCAAGTGGAGGGGCCGTGGAAAAGAGGAAGACCCTTGACAAGATGCATTGACATGGTAATGGCCTCTGGGCTCCAACATGACGACAATGGTGAGGATGGGGCAGGACTGGGCAGTGTGTCGTTCTGTTGTGCCCATGGTCGCTATGAGTCGGAACCAACTCAATGGAACCTAACAACAACAACAACAACCAGAGCCATGCTCTGCCAATCATCTCTCATGGCCTCTTAAAGTGTTAGCTGTTATCATAACCTCTCAAGCAATGCCAAGTGACTCAACTACAAGGCATAACTCCCGAAGGAGCCCAGAAGTAGTGAGGTTGACCATGGGCAGCAGACAGAGAAGCAGGGTTGATGAACCCTCAACATTTCTCAAAGGCTCAACCCTGGAGACAGACCCACTCGTTCTGTCATACAAATATGTGTTGGATTGACACTGACTGCAACGATGAGCTCAAGCACAGGAACAAGTGTGAGGACGGGCGCAGGGCCGGGCATTGTTTCCTTCAGTTGTGCATAAGGTCGCTGTGGGTCAGAACGGACTTGATGGCTCCTAACAACAATACCTTCTACATCTTGGATGCTAGGTTAGTGCCTAGTGCTGTGATCAGCACTTGGGGATTTTGAATAAATAAATATTGAGTGAGTTAGTGAGTGAACAGATAGATGGATGGATGGATGGATGGATGGATGATGGACGGATGGATAGGCGGATGGATAGATGGGTGGACAGATGGATGGATAGATGGATGGATGATGGACAGATGGATAGACGGATGGACAGATGGGTGGATGGATGGATGGATGGATGGATGGATGCTGGCTCCTGGAACTTTTCAAGGGGCATCTTACAGCTGGAAGAGACACATGAACCATCAGAATCCGTCCACAGCAAAGACACTGTGAAGACCGTAAAACTACCTTGGCATCACACCTGCCACCTATGTGCCACTGAAGATAATCACGTTTCCTTTTTTTGAAAGCAGCATAAAAGGTAACAGTTTTTGTGACATCAGTCACTGGGAAAAACTGACTGCTTTGCACACCTTAACTTCCTGCTGTAAGCCTGGTGGAGTCAGTGCCCTGCTGGCTGAAAAGGTAAAGATCTCCTGAGAGACGGATGAGAGATGAATGCGTTTACGGCTTCCTGGGCATAAAACACTCTCCGAGCAAGAAGGGGAGGACGATGTGAATGCAGACGGCGTTTTGATGGCTCATGTATGAAAAAGTGTTAGAAATATTATTCCATGACATGGTGTAGGTGATTGAAGGCTGCAAGTAGAGGCAACTATCTTCAGCCTCTTCTGAGGTGCTGACTGGTTGCTTTGGGCTCTGGAGTCCAGGGAGCTCACCCAGGCCAGGCTGGCTCCAGTGCCTCCTGAGTGGCAGGGAGAGGTCCGGATGCAGGTCAGAGGAGCAGAGAACGGATGCATTCTAAGGATCTAGATGGCACTGTTGTGACCACCTGTGAAAACTCCCATTTGACAGCTCAGCCTGAGAGCTGTGATTGAGTCCTGCAGGGGTGACCCCTTTGTTCTCCAAAAGAGAAGGCTTTACATTCTGATGGGGGCTTCTGCTCAGTCACACAGGCCTCCAACCCCACCAACAGGCTTGGCCTTTGGCTCTGCGAAACTGGCATGCCTGCAAAGATCCCTTTCAACAGAGAAGGGATTGTAAGCCCTTGTGGCACAGGGTTTAAGTATTTGGCTGTTAAGTGAAAGATTGGTGGTTCAAACCCACCTGCTGTATCCACCTGCTCATCTGAGGGAGAAAGATGTTTCTGCTTCTGTACAGGTTACAGCTTTGGAAAATCTATGGGGCAGTTCTACTCTGTCTTGTGGGGTCTCTGTGAGTTGGAATTGACAAGAAGGCAATGAGTTTGGCTTTTCAGTTTGCCAAAGCCACCACTTGACTGGTCTGACAGGCACTCTTGGTTAGGGACCAATCATGCGGTGACTGCCCATCTTGGTGCTTTTCTATAAAGCCCCAGAAATCCTGTTAGAGTTGCTATGAGTTAGAATCGTCCTAGTGACAGTGAGTTTAGATTTGGATGGACCAGTCCCTGGAAAAAGACCTCATGCTTTGCAAGGTAGAAGGTCATTGGAAAAGAGGAAGCCCCCAACAAGATGGATTGACACAGTGGCTGCAACAATGGGCGCAAACATAGCACTGATGGATGGATGGATGGATAGACACTGGCATCTAGAAGCACATCAAATGGCATCTTATTGGACGAAGTGGTGCTGTGTTCTGTTGATGTAGGGTTGCTATGAGTCAGAAATGTGACACTCTGAGACAATACATAACAACAGTATTATTCTCACAACACTCTTGTGAGGATTGGGTTGAGACGATGTATGCAAATATGCTATTAAATATTGTAGGGGCTTGCTCATGAAACATATGAAAAATATAATATGCTCCACGAGGGCAGGGAATTTTTGTATCTCTTAGCATCTAATGTATAGCAATGCCTCAGCTTAAAAATGGAATGGGTGAAAGATGAAGATGACAATGTGTTCACTTGGCTCTCCATAAGCAAATGTTGAGTACACTTGGCAGCCCCTAATGGCAGTGAACGGATCTTTTGCTCTGTTCTTGGTCCAATCTTCCAGGTAATTTCCCAGACCCTCTCCCCGACCTGGAACCAGATGCTGCTCTTCAGTGACGTGGTGCTGTATGGGGATGAGAAGGAGCTGGTGGAGTCTCCGCCCTCAGTGGTGGTAGAGCTGTATGACAGTGATGCCGTGGTGAGACTCCTGGGCAGTGCTCACCACCCTCTAGAGACACTTCACGGCACACAGGGAATCCGGGACAGATAAACTCTCAGGACCAATATTGAGAGTAGCCATACAAGGAGGGGAAGGGGAAGGTTGGGGGAGAAAGGGGAAACTGATCACAATGACCTAACTATGACCCCCTCCCAGGAGGATGGACAACAGACAAGGGGGTAAAGGGGGACATCGGACAGTGCAAGACATGAAAAAAAAATTTATAAATTATCAAGGGTTCATTAGGGAGGGAGGGGAAAATGAGCTGATACCAAGGGCTCAAGTAGAAAGAAAATGCTTTGAAAATGACATTGGCAACATATATACAAATGTGCTTGACATAATGGATGTATGGGTGGATTGTGATAAGAGTTGTACGAGCCCCCAATAAAATTATTTATACTAAAAAGATTACAAATATATATAAAGTTACGTTAATATCCTCTTTTGCTACTCAATCAAAATTGAGCAGAACTGCACCTTCACTCAAAGATACTCATCTCCATCATCATTGTCTTCATCACTACCACCATCATCATCATCTTGTGTTAAATACTTATTGTATACCAGCCATGGTAAATCAATGTCAAATTACCCAATAAGCAAAGAAAGCACCAATTTACTTGTGCTTACTTGCTAATACGTAGTGAGCATACTAGGATGCATTGCATGTTCTAGGTGTGGTAAGTAAGCTGGTGCCACCTTGCTTCTTTGGTAACCCAACCCTGAGGACTATGTTTAATCCTCACAGCCCCATAGCCCATACACTTTGTAGGTCAAGTAGCTGGCCAAGGCCATGGACCTAGAAAGTAGCATATCTGGGGACTTAAACTCAGTTTGCTTGGACGTCAAAGATCATGTTCCAGCCACAGTGCTGCCCTGCTTTGGGATTCCTTGGGATATTTGGTGCCCCCTTGTTGTCCTTTTCTCCTTCAAGTCGACCCTGGATGGCATTTTAACTTGACTCCATGGAGATCTGTTTCAGAGAGAGATGCCCCTGTGTGAATTATCTTTAAACAACACTTAAAAAAAAAATCTATCACACTTCAGGAGGCGCAGTCCAAATTCAGCCTGTAGCTCAAGAGAGAGGTCCTTTGTTATCTCTTTCAGCTTCTAGAAACCAGCAATCCTTAGAGGGCCTCGTCTCATAGATTCATTTTCCCTCCTCCTCCTCCTCAGATTGTGTTGTTTTCTCGCCCAGTGTCTGCATGACCTCTGGGTCAATGCTGCCCATTGCACTGTAATGCAAAAGTGATTAGGTTTAGGACCCACCTCCACATTGCTATGATCTCAGCTGACAGATTACCTTAGATTAGATTGCATTATGGAAGATGATGATATTATATAGTTAGATTACATCCACCTGTTGGGGTGGGGGGCGTTCAAGCCATAACACATGCTAAGATAGCCTAAGGCCAGAACCCCTTAAGGATGCCCTTCTTTTGCATTTCCCCTGGGACTTGAATGAACTCCACTCTTCCCAGGCTGTGGAAAGGGCTAAGAAGTGGTGGTGAGAGGAGGTTCTGATGCTGGCATTGTTGAAAAGATTATTTGCCAAGTTGCACTCCTGGGGTTCAGAACCAGGTAGGAACCCATCAGGGGATGAAGATTCATTTTTTTTCTCTGCTTTAGGGGAAGCCAGAATATCTGGGTGCCACAGTGGCTGCTCCTGTTGTGAAGCTGGCTGACCAGGCCTATGAGCCCCCCTGGCTGAGCTATCACCCCATCTTCTGTGGGAGCCTCTCTGGAGGGGACCTCCTGGCTGTGTTTGAGCTGCTGCAGGTAAGTGACCAGAAGCGACATCTCCATTACATGATTGTCCGGTCCACTTGGTTGGAGGCGTGGCATCTATGGGGGACCTCCTCAATGAGAACAGCTCCTGGCTCTTCCTTACTGCCCTGTGTCTTGAAGCGTCTTCTTCCAGGGACCTGGGAGGTATCCAACTGTGGTGCCCTGTGTTCTTCTCAGGACCCAGGGCTACAAGTCAGAATACCGGGATGAAAGAGCTTCATGGAACTAGGCAGCGGGGTCTGCGCAGGCCGCTGTGCATGTCCCTTAGACTGAGCACACATCTGGGAGCACTTACCATGTACCCAAGGAGCCCTTGCAGTGTAGTGATTGCCTGTTGGTAGTCACAAGGTCTGCAGTTTGAAATCACTAGCAGGAGAAAGATGGGGCATTTCACTCCTGTAAAGAGTGACAGTCTCAGAAAGTCACAGGGGCAGCTCTACCCTGTCCAATAGGGTTGCTGTGAGTCAGCATCGACTCGATGGCAGTAAGTTTCTTTGTTTGTTTTTGAACCACAGACCCAGGAAGCCCTGGTGGCCCAATGGGTTACAAGTTGGGCTACTAACTGCAAGGTCGGCGGTTCAAACCCGCCAGGTGGAGAAAGACGAGGCCCTCTGCTCCTGTAAAGGACCAGGAACACTACCGTGCAGTTCTGCTCCATCCTATGGGGGGCTCTGAGTTGAAATCCCTGTCGGAAGAGCAGGTTTATCTTTGGAGCAGACTCCATCCATCTATAGGGATGCCCACTTTTCAGAAACCCTTAATTGTAAAAGGTTAAAAAATAAGGATCTCACTTGCTAGAGAAAGCAAAAGGTGCTAGCGTTGGAACTCAGGGGTACGGATCTCTGTGGTTATATACAGACATCACACTCCACAAAGTCACTGTCAATACTGAATTAGTGCCGGCTTAACTGCTGCTCAAGGGGGAACACTGGCCTAGGTTCCTGCAGACCTCTCTCTCATCCTATCTTTTGTTAACTGGCTGATGCATGCTCCTGGTTTAAGATGTTTTCTGCTTAAAAGCACCTTCTTTGCATTCTCTTTTTGGGTCCTTAACATGGAACCCATAGCCAAGAGCTCTTGTCTGCGTGACGCTTATCTCACCCATGGGTGTCCCTGGGGCCGGTCCCAGCCTCCTCGCTGGAGAGAGCACCACATGTCAGCACTGTGCTTTCAGGCCATTTTAAACTGAAAAACCACCACCAACAAAAAAGTATCAAACAAGGCAACAAGAAATAAAAGAAAATGTAGAGCTCACTAGACTGTGAAAAGGGTCGTTGTGTGCAGTCCGCGAGCCGGCACAAAGCAAGGTGTCACCTGGCTCAACCTCAGCTGGGAACACGTGCATGAGGGGCTCAAAGTCGCTGCCACTCTGTTCATTTTGGCAGCAGCAGGGCTCAGCACAAAATATCTTGCCAACCCAGACAAGCTCTCCAGAACAGCAGAATTGAAAAACAGTTGTGTCGTTGACTAAGCTGAATGCGATTCCCATCACAAACAAATGCAGAGGCAGAACTTGTGTAGAGCCAATCAGATGTGGCCCAAAGATACCGGTCCTCAAGGAAAAGGACTTACAGCATCTTTGTCATCTGTCGTTCATGCCAAGCTCCCTTGGCAGCTGGGGGAACCATCAGTGTTGGCGGAGCGGGTCTCTTCGAAGGAGAAAGTTGGTTCTTCCCTCTGTTACTGGAGGTGGCCTTGCGACTTGGAGCCCAGTGCCAGCTGATCTTAGGCTCCTTGACTCCCAGACAGCAGGGACTCGGGGAGGGAGTCTGTCTGCTTTGATAGCTTGTGTTCGAAAGAGATGGCTCCCAGGTCGTCAGGTTGTAAAGCTGACAAAGTTGATGGCTCCCATCCCCAGGTTGTAAAGTTGACAAGAGGTTTATCTTGACTTGTAAAAGATTGGTATATATTTCTAAGAGGCAGAGGGGAAAAAACGCACACATAAAAGCTTTCTGAAGTAATTATTCTTTGACGAGAGAAAGGCGGAAATACTTCAAGTTTCTCCAACAAGGAGAGTAAAGCCTCTCCTCGTTATTCTGTTTTATTTTTAATTCGGATATACCTTCCCGGAATTTCTGTGAGTGGTCAGGAAAGTCCCTGGTATGTTGATTTTAGGGTTCCAAGTACGCTTTTTCCTTTAACTGTTTATTGTGAATTAGATGAAGGTTTGCCGAGCAGATCAGCTTTATATTCAGCAACTTATACCCGTTTGGATTCATCTGCTTGATTGCAACCCTGACAATGTGGAGCATTGATCCTACTTGCTTCCTGTGCCGCCTGCTGCCATTCCTCCTGCTCTGCCAACCCTTCTGAATTTTGTCCTTGGGCAGGTGCCGCCCTTTGGTCTCATGTGCTTGATTGTTCTGAGGCGGGCGGGCCTCCACCGAGCTAGGGTTCCCCTTACAGGTCTATTGTTTGGCTGAAAACTGAGCCACTGGTTGGGTTCATTTCCAGACCTGAAGGGTGGCTAAGGGCCTTAGTTTCAGGGGTCTACGAGTTTCTAACCAGTTGGCCTCATCTTTTTGTATGCTTTTGGATATTGTTGCACCTTTTCCTCCCACTTGACCCAGGACCTTAGTGTGATCCCTTTCAGAGCAGTTGGGGGTGGGAGCCGGGCACTATCTACTTCTTCTGGTCTCAGGGTCACTGGGCTCGTCTTCACCACTTAGGGCTGCTCTGGCGAGAGAGCAAACTCTCCGGGGAAGTGAAGCTGGGTGAGCATTTGCAGGATGAAGCAGGGACTCGCGCACTGGAAGGAGGCTCTAACTAGAAAAATCGGTGCCTTTAAAACTCCAAGACCCTAAGCACCAGTATTTTATCTGGGTGTCTGAGGTGCGTTTCTTGTTAGCTGGATATTGAGGGATCAAGAGTCAGTGCTAAAAATAAACAAAAACTTTCAGCCTATAATTGAATTTGGGTGATCGGGAAATGGGCAGTGTCCCTACTAAAAGTGGACATGAGCTCCAGAGACAGCAGCTATAAGTCAGGGGTTTATCTAGCAAACCCCCCAAATGCCCTCCCTAACCAAACCCATTGTCAGCAACAGGGTCACCCTTTAGGACAGGGTAGAACTTCCCCACAGGGTCTCTAGGGCTGTGAATCGCCAAGAGGCAGACTGACAGACATACCCTCTTCCCTCAGAGTGGCTGGTGGGTTCGAACTCCTAAGCTTTCAGTGAGCAGCCAACCTCTCATGGCGCCCACAGGGCTCCCTGGTGAGAATAAGGACATTAAAATCTGAATTAGGGTTTGACAATTGTGAAAAGGTAAGGGGCGCTCGCCTATACCATATAGTCATAAATGCAGCGATCACCTGTGCCACTGGCTCCTTGGGCACCGAACGTGCTGGGGGTCCCAGGTCAGCCAAGAACCCCAAGCAAGGGCTGTTAGTTACTGATGAGCAGGCTCCTTCCTGAAGCATTTGGGGTAGTTTTGAGTGTTCAGCTGTTAGACTTCAGCACGTCTGGAGGCACCAGCAGTTATTTTTCACAAGTACTTATCATACTTACCGAGAAAAACTCACCTAGACCCCGGCCCTGTGCAGGCTGTCCTGTGTCGCCAAGAAAGTGGGACGTTGCAGCCTGGAAGTTACCTTCAAAGCCCTCTGGTCCTGTCTGCCCTAAAGGGAGAATCCGAGTAATTTTCAGGCTGTGAACGAGTGAGGGTAGGTCACACTGCTGGCGAGCTGTAAATAATACTGAGTCGATCAGGAGGAAAGTTTTAACTACTCCTCCCAGGAGAAAG